GAATGAAGACTTATCGTGACCAAGACTCATTTGACATCCACTTGCTGTATTTCAATGTATCTGTTTGCGATTTATCACTGAGAAAATCGCTTTAAAAACACTTTAATTATATTTATATACAAATCTTTTCTAAAGATGAAGTTTTGTATTCAAATAGGCCAAATGAAATTGATTGATCAATTGTAGCTTCCGCCTAAATCCCAGAACAAAACACAAACCTAGTCAACGGGTTCAAGGAATCGAGGTCATGATGCAATGGCAGCGTCACGGCCTAGCTACTACCCGTACAATGTCCAGAGTTTAAATATCAATTCTTCTCTGGTGACCCTTTCGTCTTTTTTATCCTTTTTTCTCAATGAAAAATCCTTTTGAAGTTAATTATAACCTCACGACTGTCTTTCATTTTTTTCTCATCTAAAATGTAAATTTAATTTTGTAGACGCGGTTGACCTGGATAATTTCGTTTCCTAACCGACTTCGTATTTAATGCTCAAAAGTAATTTTTAAACCATACCACTAAGTTAGAGAGAGAGAAAAAACAGATTTGAAAACCAAATGTTAAACGGATTTTTTCATGAATAAAAAAGGATAAAAAAATGAAAGAATCCAACAATACGATTTACCTGTGAATTAATGCTTCCCACAAACGTCGAAGTCGAATATTAAATGAACCCGGCGCGATTTTTACAATCCTACTCGTTCGTTTTTCTCCCCTCAGACGTGTCTTATCGCCACTCCACAGTAAACCCAAGCAACGAAAAGGTTTCCATCTCTGAAAATGACGTGACTTCAAATGACACTCTTCGGGTTTCGTCTTTGCTTTTCCAACGTATTGTGTGACTGCAGAGGTTAACTTGATAAGAGGCTCAATGAGCGCATGCTCATTAACCTACTACGGTTAAACGCACAATTTTAAAATTAAAGTGAAGCGGATACATAGCGCTTTGCATGTGTTGTGATTAAATGAATTATGCTGTGATAAATTAATGAATATTCCTTGATTTTGCAATGTGTTCAGTGGTTTAAACCACATTTATTTAGCATTTTTCCACAATTTTTGTGCCAAATGTCACATATAGGGCGGTAATGATACTAGTGTAGAGCCTGGAACAAGTGCCGAGTCGACAGGACCCGAATCACTCGTAGACGTAATCGCTGGTCTTCGTCTTGAAGGCGAAAGACTGCCCGAATCAGACGAACAACGCGTCAGCTGCTTCAACATCACACGTGGTACTACATTCCAACGTAACCAAAGCGGAAAACACTACTTGTTCATAAATCGGCAGAGATGATTGCTTCACATTGGTTGCGAGAATTTTCGGCATTGGTTCGTACTAAAGTTATATGATAAACACGAGTGAAAAGATTATGATGTTATATTCTGTTTAATCATATGATTATATTATGAATGCAAATGAAACTTGAGAAAAACAGGAGGATATTACATAAAATATAAAAATTAGATTAAAATATATATTTCTTAATTTTTCTCCAAAATAGCCGAACTCACGGTCTAATAAGAGCGTCTAGTTCAAAATATCCCAACTCTCTTGAGACTAAAATAAACTTGACCTAAAAGGTCATGTAATTRATATCACTGATAAAATCAAACGTGCTATGTAGAGATCTGAAGTGACGCTAAGTGATAATTGACCTCTCAGGCCAAGAAAATACTTTAGAAAGTAAATGATACCTATAAAATCATTAAACTCGCCTTTTTTATTGATAAAAAATGTTTCTTCTTGTTCTAATTTGAAATCTTTGTCCACACAACACTGCCTAACGCTAAAAAGGCCATTGATTTAGTTTCGAAAGCATACTACTCGAAGCACCAAGCGATCTGCACATGCGCGTACTTATGATACCTAGACTGATGCATTCCGATGAGATCACAGATACCACATTTGTAAACGAATAGTTTTTTTGTCATATAAAAGCGCGAGTAGTATATAACATTTACTAACGATATTCGTACATCAATACGTTTGAGCTTCCGGTCATGTAATAACACAGCCAACCCAATAGTTAATCATTAAATTCTTAACTTCCGGTGGTCCAAACGCGACATGACACATAGATAGATAGATTGGCTAAGGTAAATTTAAAGTCGGACCGCCTTCGGCTAGTCCGACTAATAACTAGAGTAAATGTGAATAATACATATAGAGTACAAACACTAAAACTGTGCAACATAAATACCACTAAATACTGCTAAATTATGCTAATTCTATTGTTTTCTATTGTTTAATTAACACTATTTTGTAGTAAATAGTGCAAAGTGTTGAACACATTTAGTGTTTGTACCCTGAAACTTTAAGATAAGAATCCGAGTAAACCAGAAACGTCTTAGCGATCTTTGGAAAACATTTTTGTTAAAAATGGGAGAGCCTACGTAGCACTCAGTTGATGTAATATATTCTCAAAGATATAATACAAAACACATAATACAATAGAACGAGAAACAATGGAATGCAATACATTTTATGAATACATTACATCAACTGCGTGCTACGTAGGTCACCCCTGTTAAAAATAACCTCGTATCCAGACCCTTATCTCGGTCCTAGAATGACAAGGGTCTGGGCACGAGAATGGGTCAACGCCCACAGGGTCATCTTCTCGACGACCGCCATCTTGAAAAAGAGTCGGCCGAGATCGCACTGGGAACGAGGCTGCGACGCCATTTTGTACAACAAAGCATGATGGGAGCTCTATAGTCCTCGCAAAAGACCCTAAAGAATCACCCTTGAAATAGCATGTAGGCATTCTGTCTGCGCATGCGCGCGAAAGGGCCCATGGACGGGCGCGTCGCTTACCCGCCAGCAGATTCGCGCCCTTTTGTAGATGAGCGTGAAGTAAACAAAGAAATAATCATGGCGGTCTCAATTCACAGTGTACTCTTTCTTGGTTCGCTTTGATGTCCGATAAAACAGTCCTAATAAGCCGTTTTAAAAAGTTTTCTCTACCGAAATAGCCATAAACTTTACAAATGTAAATCACTCCAACGTAACGATTTTCGTACGTACAGGCCAGGGACTACCAAGAATAGTGAAAACTAGTTTCGTTTATTAAAACCTCTTCARTTCACTATATGTTTTACAACAGTTGAAGAAAAATTCGTAAAAAAAATATAGAAATAGATTTTTGCAAAGAAAATATATATAAAAACACACTAGGATCCTACTTGCAAAGAGATCGCGCAAACTTTTAGGTAAATTAAAATACAATATTGAAGAGACTTTTGCGGCTATGTTATTTAAATGGAAAAGACTACGTTAGACTTTGAAAAAATGGAGTTTATTTGTACTTTAAAGTCAAAATTTCCCGCCCTTCCCCCTCTCCCCATCCGCAATGCATGTAGTATAGTTGCACGTCTTAGTACTTACACTATATTATATATTTAAAATAATATATTTAAATTTCAAAAGCATACAATTTAACAGTTAATAAATACCCTGAGTTTTAAATATAATTGATATAAATATTTTGCAAAATGTCACAAAATCGCTTATTTGATGTTTGACTTATAACTTTGGCTTCTTTCAAGTAATTTATGTTCAACTAGACCAACTTGCAATCATTTATCTATACTAGAGTCATTTTCATCCGTCTGTGAAACAATTACTACTAGTCAGTGTTTAATAGTAACTATTAGGGTGTAGTAGGCTACCAAAAGGCAAAATCAAAACCGTGTTTGCATAATTTGTTTGTCGCATGTCATTACTTAAACTATTGGGAGCTAATAAGGGGTGATAGTGTTTAATAGTACAATTCCTATTTCACAGATGAAAATGACTCTATGATATTCTCGGATTGTATTTAATGCAAGTAATTAGTGATTTAAATGAACTGTTTTTACAAAAACTCCATTTTGGGCGTTTATATTTTGATGAAAGTGTTAGGAGTCCATTTATATAAACGTAGGAAACAATCTAGCCAAGTTTTAAGAAATACCTTGGAGATAAAGTCTCTCAGTGAATAATACGGCCCAAAAAAGTCGCCACTTCAAAGTCTCCAAGAGATTTTTCAAAACTTGACCAGATTGGCATTTTGCAAATTATCATCCACAATCCATCTTAAGGCCGGCTCAAACGTTTTCAATATTTGAATTAAATATTTGATTTGATTCTTTTTTGAATTAGTGCAATGCTGTGTGGCTTTAAAATATAAAGATACTATCGAACTACTAAAAATGATAAAAAAATCCGGTAGAAAAGGATGGAAAAATCCTCTTCTAGCAGGGTAGTATTAAATGACAATAGTCTCCTTCACGGTTACGTGCGCCATCTTGAAAGGCAGCCGTGCCTTTACATCGAAACGAGACTACCATTGAGCGTGCAATGATAGAAACCTTCTTTCACACCTACAGACAATTATCACAGGTTTCTATCATTGCACGCTCAAAGGTTGTCTCGCTTCGATGTAAAGGCACAGCTATATTTCAAGATGATTGAAAATAATTGAACGTTGCAATCTCAACTAAGATGAATGCTAATAATTAAACTTTATATATCTCCATGACGTAAAGTTGTTAATATTACTAGTGATGATAAACAAAATATTACATGGTCTCTTGGAGATACGAATTTTATCTTCTCGTGTTGAAAATCTCTCACAAGTGAGCGTTGCAGCACTTGAAGATAAAATACGTATCTCCGCGCGACCATGTAATATCCTCCCATATCATTTTTATAATCACTAAATAAAAATTATCGCTAGCATTTATCGTAACATCGAGTCCAACATGGATAATCTCATGTGATTTTTTGCTAGACTGTAACGTTGCTTAGTTGTCAAGACATTAAGACAACAACAAATTAAGTCATTTCCATACTTTTTTTTCGTTCCGGTATCCTAGTCATTGGCGCGCAGTGATTGGCTAGCGTGCGGTCCGGTTTTTCACGATCTGCCCGGTTCAAGGTATCCTGCAGCTAGGCTGCGAGCAAAGTTGCATAAAATCCAAATAATAATAAAAAAATAAAAATGTTATTTACCGGCTATAGGTCGGTCCGTATAGGAAAACACTGCCCTCGGTCTTTTATGTACGGACCTCGCTGCGCTCGTTCCATACTGTCAAGACCTTGTACAGTAAAAGAATGTATACAAGGATACCTTCACTCGTCTATCTACCTCGTGCAGTGTGTTTTCCTATACGGACCTCCCAGCCGGTAAATGACATATATATCATATTTTTAAATTCTTTGAAAGAGTATTCAACATAAAACTGCAAACATTCATTTGCAATGCCAATAATATTTAATTCGATATGTGGAGTTGTAAATCAAAATCCTTCACGGGAATAAACCCGATCTCTTTTACGCTGTGTTCGCCTCAAAACTATGTAATAAATTCTTTTATTCACTAAAAATCCGTGCAAATGCAAGAGATCCGCGGTGAGTATGAGAAGACGATGAAAATAGTTTGAAATTTCACGAGTTTTATCAAAATTTATGAATATTTTGCTTAGAATTGAGGCTAACACAGCGTAAAAGAGATCGCGAAACTCAACTATTTTAAAACATTTTTAAGCAAATGAATTTGAACGTTAATGGTTTGACAGTACGTTGAAGAGCGTATTTCCTCAATATTTCTTCCATATTAATTCCACATTCCCACTTTGTCATGGTAGTAGTGGTAAAATCCCGGAAGTCTCAGTTTCTCAATCTCATACCCATTCATCAAGACTCTATCGACCATTTCCCAGTCCTCTCCTCCCCACTTATTCTTGAATTCTCGCTCGTTCATTCCACCAAAGGTATCCCAGTCTGACTTGTAAGTGGCTGCAAGATAAAAATGAACTAATTCATCTATGTGTAGTGATAAAGAACACTTACAGAATAAAATATTGATAGGAAATGTTTTTCGTCGGGTGGTTAACACTAAAATTGTATAGAACATCAACTTCAAGTTAATAATTAATTTGAGATGGATTTCGTAAACACAACGCGGCTTTTCACTTCAGAAGAATTCTACCAAATTATGATAGAGTGAGGCCTTTAAAGAGCACATGCATGGCACCATTAAAAATTCATTCTCATCCAAAAAAGAAAATGCCGCTACTGTGAAGAAAGAATTTGATTTTAAATTATGGATGATTGAAACTCCGAAAATTCAAATGAAGTGACGTCTACTAAGGAATGATTTAATATACAAAATCATGAAAGAGGACGTTACATTGGAAAAAGCATTTTCAGCTCTCTAAATTATTACTATGATTGATGATTTGAGCTCTTCAACCAAGAACAAAAGAAACAACGCAAAAAGTCTGGTATAATTCCTTAGTCGAAGTCACTTTATTTACATTTTCGGTTTTCAAATGTCTATAACTCAGAAAATACAATTCAAAATCTATTTCTTTCTTCACAGAAGTACTTGGCAGCGTGTTATTTTTCGAATAAAATGATTTTCTGAAAAGTGTCGTGAAACAAAATTTGACTGTATGTGAATATTGTTCCCGATAAATGCATTAATAGTTAGTTATGTCTACTTTCACTTGGGCTATGGGTCACGATGCGTTGTGTCCACGGTCACTGGAACATCAAGTTCTTAGAAAAGACGGAAGCGGTCGTTTGAACAGCCAAACATAACGCAGTTATTTACTCACGTCAAAGAAGCGAGTTATAAATTCAGCATCGTAAGTGTTATTTTTTTAAATATTTTCCTCGTTCAACAACAAAATGATCAAAACCCACGCATGCGTACGCAGCTACGATAATAGTAGGCATGCGCACAATGAAATTTGAACCGCCCACAATGGCGGACAAGCGTTTAGAAAATGTGTGTTCATTTTGGGACGATAATTTCCCCAAACTTGTAGAGAGATTACATTACGAGCGATATATAACGAGAACTCCTAAAAGTGAAAATTCTATCGTGAATGATTCTTCTATCTGCTTTACAAATCAAAAGCGCGAGCTCACGCATTTATGCGTCTAGTTTTACCATCGTTGACACAGTTTTCATACTCTCATCTTACCAAAAATCCCGAAGCCATTTGGCTCGTAATAGCCGTGCGAATAGACATGCCTTGTTTTGGGACGTCCACAATGATGAAGTCTCATCAGTATTGGAGAGAATCCTGTCTTGCCTTGAATAGTATGCTGAAAAATATAACAAGAAGTTATTGGTCGATATAGAGTAGTATATTGAGAATTATTGGTTGAGGCTGAGTATGATATGAAGAATTACCGTATTTACTCGAATAGACGTCGCGGCGTCTATTTCATTTTTCACGATCCAGCTGTGGCGTTTATTCGAGGGCGACGTCTATTCGGGGGCGGCGTTTATTAAAACAACACTTAATTCAGTACTACATACCGTACTTTATATTGTACCTTTTTACTAACAAACAGTAACGAATCTCAATATATAAATGTTGTGCCAGTTCATTTTGTCGATTCAATTTTTAATTTAACCAGACTTAAACTTTTATTTCAACATCAATGTCCTCCTCGTGGTCGGAATCTAAGCTGCTGAGATCAAACAAGTACAGTCACTTCGAAATAAAAAATGTTCTTAAAGAAAATAAATTCCCATTGCTAGTATCATTATTTCCTCAAATTGACGCCGCACCCAGATGCGGCGTCTATTCGGGGGCGGCGTGTATTAATATTTTGAGCTTTAAATGCGGCGTCTATTTGAGGACGGCGTCTATTCGGGGGCGGCGTTTATTCGAGTAAATACGGTAATGGTTGACGCTGAGTATAATAAGAAGAATTATTGGTTGGGGCTGAGTATGATAAGAAGAATTATTGGTTGGGGCTGAGTATGATAAGAAGAATTATTGGTTGGGGCTGAGTATGATCTGAAGAACTATTGGTTGAGGCTGAGTATGATATGAGCAATTATTGTTTGAGCTTGCTGAGTATAACAAGAAGTTATTGGTCGATGTAAAGTAGTATATGAAGAATTATTGGTTGAGGCTGAGTATGATATGAAGAATTATTGGTTGAGGCTGAGTATGATAAAAAGAATTATTGGTTGAGACTGAGTATGATATGAAGAACTATTGGTTTAGGCTGACTATGATATGAGCAATTATTGTTTGAGCTTGCTGAGTATAACAAGAAGTTATTGGTCGATGTAAAGTAGTATATGAAGAATTATTGGTAGAGGCTGAGTATGATATGAAGAATTATTGGTTGTGGCTGAGTATGATATGAAGAATTATTGGTTGAGACTGAATATGATAAGAATAATTATTGGTTGAGACTGAGTATGATATGAAGAATTATTGTTTGAGCTTGAGTATGATATGGAGAATTGTAAAAGTACAACATACTCGTATATAAATGTCCAAAACATTGCTGAAATGCGCTTTTTAACGATTCCACAAAACTGCAAATCAACCTTGTAATATTTTCAAACAACTGAAAATGACTTTACGAAGGTAAAACATGTATTGTTTTAAAACGTTTCTTTATACTGTGTAAACGCTAAAAGTTGTTAAACTCATTCAAAAATCTTCAGTCTCGATCGTCAAATAGCGAGCCGAATCTCTTGATGAACGAATCATCGCACTCTTGATACACCATTCGCGTTAGGCCACTTCTACAGGTATGGATAGGTGACGATCTCTCTCTCTAGCAGATTCACCACCAGGCGATCGCCGCGCGTGCACGAGGAACGCCTGGTGGATTCAATGATTCATTCAATGATTCATCATTCAGCGCGCGCATTATTATCGTTTTCTAGAAGAAGAATTCGATCGTCTACTGCGCGAAAGGCAAAATTTAATCGTTTAACTTAATATATATGTCGATTTATAAGGTAAATTTCCACTTTTACTCGTTCTTTTTCGAATTTAATACTGTGAGAATGAAAATATTCTCAGCTTGCGATGCTTTGTGGGATGGTGCCTTCAGTTTGAAACCACGCGCTGATTGGCTAAGATCAAACGCGTGATCAACACGTGACTTCCCAAATGTAATAGAGTCAATTTCGTATGAGTGGGAAACGTACGGTAGAAATTACCGCACGGTTACCGCACAGTTACCGGACCTGGTCTGCACACTTTTTGTGAAGCAAAGAGACACTAGAATTTGGTTACAGGGTTACAGTACGATTACGGTTACAGTACAGTACCGTCCGTTTTCCACTCATACGAAATTGACTCTAATGTCATCATTTGTCTTCCTGGTAACCCGTTTGTCCGGTTAAACAGGTAGTTTCAACTGGAATTTACAGGTTAAGGTATTAGTAGGTTACACGTACCTGTACAAAGATACGGTGTATTTCAAGGTCTCTATTAGAACGATTTCACACACGCGTTTTTAAAATGCAAAGGAGTTTTTCGAGTATTTAAAGAATCCAAACCAACCACAATGGAGCGTGCGCTCGTGTTATTCTTCACATACGTGTAAATGTGTCAATCATACAATAGATTATAGATTGATAGTACCTGTGAGGTACTTAGTTAAAAGTATTTCTATCCAAACTGAAAGGATGGAAGACGATTCGCGCTCACTTTAAGAAATCCTACGAATACGCCATTTTCGTGTCCACCTGAAATGGCGCTTCGGCTCGCAAGGTACAGCGGTTGATTGTGAAGATAAGTCGTTACCTTGTAAACCAAGTCATTCACATGGTTGAAAGTTCGACTGTTACATTGATAAATATATTATATGTATATTTCAAGCTTGATCTAATTCTAACAAAATTGGTGTTTTACAATAGAGCAAACACAGGAAAACCATGAAATAAAATCAAACTAAATACTAACTAACAGCGGCTATTTAGAGACAGTTTGTCAGTATCAATGAACCAGAACACAACGAAGATGAATCCAAATGGGAACAGTTTTCTTTCATCTTTATTGCGTTCTGGTTCATTGATACTGAAAATTTGTCTCTAAATAGCCGCTATTTGTTAGTATTTAGTTTGATTTTATTTCATGGTTTTCTTGCGTTTGCTCTAATTGCTTTAGATTCTCTTTTATGACAAAGATGCACAAAGCTCGACGCTCACATTATGGAAGTAGCAACGTGGTTAGTTAGTTGTTTATTTACCAAAAAAACAAAAACATTGTCATTTCCTCAGTAAAACGCACTTCCATGTTGTTAAAAAGCGCTTATGTAAAATCGTTCTATTGTTGGTGTCCCTTCGCTTCAGATTCTCTTGAAAACTTTAAGTTTCCCACACCTTTACGACAAGGACGTGCAAAGCTCAACGCGCACATTATGGAAGTACCAACCATGTAAAAATATAACTCAGAAAAACTMAAAATCATGTTAAAAAGCGCTTATGTGAAATCGTTCTATTGTTTGTGTCTTTTCAGTCTAATGACAATGGCCGCAATGTTTCTTCGCTTGAAATGATTTCTATATTCTTTGCATGCATAATGAACTACAAGTGATCTATTTGTGTACAGAAAATCTGTAAAAATTACAACATGAATTTGATGAATTAACAAGTTCAAGTTGTTAGAAACGAAAATATCATATTTTCAAAAGTTATAGGAAATAATATAATGCAATAAAATGCATGGTTTTACGCTTTGGCTGGACACCTGGTCACCATAAATGTCTCTGTAATTTTGTCATGGATTAATTGGTTGTAACTTTACTGGTAGTTGTAGTAAAGTTACGCCATAATGCAAACGGCCTATTATTTCAGACATCCTGAACTTTTGTCGGAGCAAACTTTTTTATTGCTGTTCTTTCACATGTGACTGCTTCTCCTCTGAGACCATAATTTTAGCATATTTTGTAGCTCGGACCAAGTCCCTTTTTCTTTCTCTAATCGGCAAGGTGAAAAAAGTTTAAAATGGCTGGAATGTTTCGCAACCTTCGCTTTGCGCTTTTTACTGGAGTACTCCTCGCAATAATTCCTTTTGGTTTTGTCTTCTACAAAAATAGTTTTCAAGGAATCTCGTTTCGGAAAGACCGCTTTAAATGTATACATCAAGACGCTTTCAAATCTCAAAAAACCGAAAGCCAGCGACTGGATGTCACACAAAACAGATCATGGGTTTACAACAAGACTAAAGAAACAGTTCTTGTTTTATTTTGGTCGACATTTTTCGGTGATAGATTGTACGGGGGTCCAAACTTAAGGCATTGTAGGACTCCTTGTGAGTATACAGCGAACCTAAGTCGAGTTGCCAGAGCCAGTGTGATGATTATCCACGCAAGAGACCCGTATCCTTTACCGCCAAAAAATTACAGTCACATACCATTGGTTCTGCTCACAGCAGAAAACCCAGTTTACACTCCAATGCTTTCCAATCCTAAATTTCTCTCCAATTTTAACTACCTAATGAGCTATCGACCTGATTTGGCGGACTTTTTCTTACCGACCTTCAAAACGCCGAGTATAGAGCCAAAACCAACCCCATTTGTCAACAAAACTGGGCTTATTGCTGCAGTGTTTTCAAACTGCGAGACGGCGAGAACAGCATATCTGAAAGAACTTATGAAACACATCAAAGTAGACTCGTATGGAAGCTGTTTAAGAAACAAAAAAGGGTTGCAAGACAGATATCAAGGAGATTTCAAACGAGCGAAACTGAAGTTATTACGAAATTATAAATTTACTGTAGTATTTCACAACCAGGATTGTGATTATTTTGTAGACGACCAGCTTACGTACGCTTTGAATGCAGGAACTATTCCGGTCTAYATGGGTACTGACAAAGTAGACGAGTTACTTGGAGGAAATTTAAGACATGCCATTATMAAAGTAAGGGACTTTGCAACCCCCAAGAAACTAGCTGAGTATTTGGTAATGTTAAGTCAAAACGAGCATTTATACAATCGATATCTAACATGGAAATACGAAGGGTTTCAGTTTTCGGAGTCGTTCCTCTCAACGCCACAAGGAAGGTGGATGCAGCCTTCACAACATCTTCACGAATACTGTGATGTCTGCAATGCAATAGCTGCTTCGCRWGAAAGTGGAMATTTCAAGAAAAAAGGTTCCGTTAAACCTGAATACTGCAATGCTCGAAAAGCTGAGGATTGGTTACCAATACCAAAACCCAAAAACGAAAAGGAATCTAAGGAACAGAAAAAGTTAAAGTAGAGAAGTGCTGGATTTTTGTTGTTGAAATRCAATCAATCYAATTAACTTTGTTTACTTGCAAACTCATAAACCCGACTACTACAAAATCATTTGCATAAAAAAGTTTTTAAAACCCCCAGGAAGAATCGTAATTCTAAACTTTCGATAAATAGCGTATTCTTGAATGTTATTGATATTGTAAAGAAGTTTTGGAAATTTATGTTGAATTTACAATTGAACAACGTTATAGTTTTGACTTCTCGTATAGTAAACTTGCGGCAAGATGCAAGGTAGACGCTTTACACTATTTACTACAAAATGGTGTTAATTAAACAATAGAAAACAATAGAATTAGCATAATTTAGGCACGCAAATTAAATTGAATTGTAACAAATGGAGYATTCAATACCGTCTTGCTTCAGGTCCACTTTTAGTCCAAATTAGTACTACTTAGATTTTGTACAGTTGCACGCTTTAAGTGCGATCACTCTRTTAGTACCGTGGCACAGATCGCGTAATTCAATAGCAAAAAAACTTATAAAATAAAAAATAATAAATCATCTAGAGTCRTTTTCATCCGTCTGTGAAACAATTACTACTAGTCAGTGTTTAATAGTAACTATTAGGGTGTAGTAGGCTACCAAAAGGTAAAATCAAAACCGTGTTTGCCTAATTAGTTTGTCACATGTCACAGACGGATAAAAATAACTCTAATTATGTTATGGTTCATTGATAATGACAATTTGTTTCTRAATAGCCCGCTATTTGTTAGTATTTAGTTTGATTTTATTTCATGGYTTTCCTGCGTTTGCTCTAATTTTTTGGAACTTAAAGGTTGAATAAAACTTGTAAATAATTTTGTTTTGCCGTGTTAAAAAAAACTTCCACTCACCTTTCGAACAGTTTCAAATATATTTGGTGGAAAGCTCAGGTGTAGGTCCATCAATAAAAYAATGCTGTTCGGATCTTTGACTTTGCTAGCAGCCATATTAATAGAAGATGTCTTRTGAAACAATCCTGTCTTCTTAAAAACGTTAAAGGTTTTTATGCCATGCCTAGAAAGAAAGGAAAAGATCACTAACAATACTCGAGATCTTATTTGTGCAGTCTTAACCTCGAAAGCATTCAGCAGAGATCCTATTGTAATGCAAACACTCTGTCTACAAAGAAGACATTAAAAATGAACGCTTGATTGAAGCTAATCTCTCACAAAAGAGAAATCGAAACTGGACTATTTCATTGCTACCATTACTGCGGGATACGTTTGCTTTTAAAATCTCGGGCTTCAATATGGGCTATGCCATAATATGTAAACAATCAAGATGGCCGTTTGTTTAAGTCTTTTCGCTATAATATCTGCAAGTACTTTTGCCTACAACCATCGTATGTCCTTACGACATGGCTACAACTGTCGTGTGGCTATTAAAAGCCATGTTGTAAGGATGACTTACAATATGACTGGCTTCAGGCAAAAGTTGTGTCGTCTAATTCGTTAAAAAGCGAGAAAACCAGCAATTTAATTGTGTCACCACGTACTACCAAATAAGGTAAGTTTGCCGTATATGGCTGCTAAACGAATACCGACATTTTTAAAGCCAATTCACCTCGATT